GTCAGAAGTTGCGGTGTAAATCATTCCGCTGGTATCTGGAGAATGTGTATCCGGAGAAATTCGTGCCGGATGAGAATGTGTTTGCGTACGGGCAGGTGCGGAATAAGCTGGAGCAGTGTCTGGATAATTTACAACTGCCTGATGATCAAGTTGGTCCGTTGGGGTTGTATCCCTGCCATCCGTATCTCGCCATGTCGCAGTATTTCTCGTTGAGTGCCAAAGGTGAATTGAGGCAGGAGGCGCTGTGCGCGGAGGCGTTCGCCAATGGGAATGTGCAGCTGACCGAGTGTCATAGCCATAAACGCGAACAGTTTTGGTTGTATGAGACGCAAGATGGCGGACGGATTTTTAACCCTAGTTTTGGTAAATGCCTCAGTTCGGAGGGCGTGAAAGATTCCGGTGGGTTGATTGTGGATGAGTGTAAAGCAATCCCGCAACAGAGTTGGATGTTTACGAATGTCAACGCCACTGCCATTGCTTCCTGAATCTATATATGTGTATGTGTGTGTGTGGGGAAATATGCTGAGACTGACTTAATTTAATGCGTCGAATAGGTAAATTGTATTTTTGTACGACGCCGAGACGCCGAGCTAAGCGTTTTAACAAGTGGGACGTTATATTTGTAACACCGTGCAGTTTTCAATTTCAATTATTTCCACATGTCATGCCATTTCCTTACGATCCATTGTTGCTGTGATAAACAACGCATGTTGTTTGTTGTTTGTATTTTGTTTACTTTTCAAGTTTGTTAATTAACGATGACGCACGATCATACGCGACTGTTTGCAGAGTTGTAGTTGCGGAAGTCGACGTTGTCACGGGCAGCAGCACCAGTTGCGCAGTTTACGAGCGCGCTTCAGTGCGGGTGGTCGACAAGACTTTTGCGTCCCTGGCGTGGCGTCAAGAACAACAACATATGTTTTTACTTTCATAGACGCTCTTGCAGTCTGTGCATTGTGTACACGCCAGGCGGAATCAATGGCAGTCAACGAATTACGAGGTAAGTCAGGAATGCTTGTCATTCAATTGTTTACATATCAGTCAATTGTTTTCGCGATTATTTTTGCAGTGAGCGCGCAAATCTAAATCGTGCTGATTATTTGCCGCACAGCGATAATTCGCCGCAAATACCTCAAGGCCGATACATATATTAAACATTATCACTCAATTACACAAGGTAAGTTAAAAATAACCAGCATTTTTACATGTTGTGTGCTAATTACTGTTTTGTTTCACATTTTGAACGCTAATCCACACACGCAGCGTAAACATGCAACGCTCAAGATGCTTAAATACCTCTGCTGGTCAACTAACCACACACGCATTGTTATTGTTAATGGTAATAACATTGTTTGACATCAGTGGAGTTCTTGGAGATGAGTCAACATTGAAATCCGTTGTTGTGGTGAGTATAATTTGTTCGTAATTGTTTTGCTGTTTATTCAATTCGGAGACAGACAAACTACAAACAAAAATATTGGTTTGCTAATGATGTGTAAATGTTTGCTTAGGCATTCGATGTCTTGAACTTTGCTTTTGTTTGCGTAGGTTTATCGGCATGGAGATCGCACGCCCGTCGACCCTTATCCGAATGATCCCTACTTGAACAAGAGTTACTGGCCTGTTGGTTTCGGTCAATTAACAAATGTAAGTTGAAAGCTATCAATAAAGACTTTAATCTCATAGCTTTTAATTCTAGGTGGGTAAAGAGCAGCATTATGAGTTTGGCGCGTGGCTCCGCACAAGATACAACGACTTTTTACCGAAAGACTACAGCGAAAGCGACATCTACATCCGTGCGACCGATGTAGATCGTACCCTAATGTCTGCGCAAGCGAATCTCGCCGGG